TTAAAAAAGTTATGTGCCCTTCTGTCATGTTAAAGAGAATGAGCTTATATAGGGAGCTCCATAGTCAAGGCTACTTCTAGACCAGCTACTAGACTTCAGGCTATTTCTAGAGTGGTGTTTGAATCAAAGAAATCGTTAGAAATGCAGACTCTTTAGCCACACCCTAGAACTACTGAATCTGCATTTTAACAAGATCTCCAGGGGATTCATACACACGTTCAAGTTTGAAAGCCCTACTTTGGACCACATCTACTCTTTTCCCTCCTCCAACACTTTGCTTTTTCAATTATTATTTCTCTCATTCACATATCCCTTTCCACACCCTAGTTCCCTCACACTTCCCCAACTGCCAAAAGGCCTTCTCTCATATCGGCAAGTCCCCAAGTTGAAGATACTGTGATATTACCAATTCTTTCTTTTTCCTTGTCTTCTACATAAACCTGACCCAAACCACAATAATCTCTCATCTATGCAACCATAATGGCCTCCTAACTGGTCTCCCTACCTCTTCTACTGTTGTTTTACAATCCATTCTCAAAGCACCCACAGGGGATTTTTTTAAAAACATAAATTAAACTATGTCACTCTTCAACTTAAACCCCCTTCCAACTCTTACTCCACTTACTATAAAACACAAACTCCTTCTCATGGCTGACAGGCCCTGTATAAGCTGGCTCTCTTTTCCTCAACAAGATCTATTTCAGCCACTCCCACCTTCTTTCCAGGCTCAAGCCATAATGTCTCCTTTCTATTCCTCAAAAATGCCAAGCTTTCTCTCACCTTAGTTAGGGTTTTTGCATTTACTGTCCCCTTGGTCTGGTATGCTGTGTCCCAATCTTTACGCAGCTGGATTCTTCTCATTACTCAAGTCTCAGCTTAGATTTGTTTTTGTCCACCCTCTCAATCACACTATTTTATGTTTTTCATAACAAGTATCACATCAGATGGGCTCTTGCTTATTTGCGTGTTGTCGGGTCCCTGGGAGAAAGGACCATGTCTGCCTTGGTCATCACTGTTCCCCCAGTGCTTTTGTTTTTCCCCAAACGACTGTAGGTTCTTTGCTATTTCATAGCTGAAAATGATGAAAAGATCCTTTTTAGTTCTCTTCCAAAGTGGAAGATCTATATAAAGACTTCTTTTTTTTTTATAGAAAATGATAATCTTTGAGCTAACTATATGCAGTTCATTTTACTAATTATTAGCTCTAGGGCTACAGCCTCCTGAAATCAGCTGCATTGCAAAGTCAGGTAAAACCAGACGAAATTGAAAGCAGTTAAGACACCAACATGTTAGGGCATACCATTCTGAAGGTGCCTGCTCTCCAAAGCAAAGTAGTTTAGCAGGGTGTGTAAAAGGTAATACTTTAGAGGGGAGGGACAAACTTTTGGCCAGGCCAAATCTAGCCCACAGAGATGAGAGTAAAGGGAAGGATAAATGGTAACAGAAGGAGACTAGACTTTGGGTGGTGACACACAATACAATATACAGATGATGTATCATAGAATTGTACACTTGAAAACTGTATAATTTTATTACCCAACATAACCCGAATAAATTCAATAAAACTTCTACTTGTAGAGATATAATCCATAGGTATACACATACATATGAAAAATGATGTGTGTATGAGATTATTTTTTGCATTTATTTTGTTTTTTTAATTGTTTACTGATTTTTAGAGAAAGAGAAGTGGGAGAGAGAGAGAAACAGTGATTTGTTGCTCCACTTATTTATGCATTTATTGGCTGTTTCTTGTATGTGCCCTGACTGGGGATCAAACCCACAACCTCGGTGTGTCAGGACAATGCTCTAACCAACAGAGCTACCTGGCCAGGGTTGCAGTTTTTTTAAAATAAGTTTGAAAATAACAAGAATGTCCATTAAGAGGAACTAGTTAAATTAATTATGGTATATCCAGACAATGGAATACCATGCAAATATTTCTTAAAATGCAGTTCTTTATGTATCAATACGGAAAGATTTCTAAGATATGTCGTTAAATTTAAAAGAGCATTGTAGAGAATATGAATAATATACTAACATCTGTGCCCAGAAAGACTGGAAAAATAATATATACTTGTATTTGACTGTTAAAAAAGATGTCTGGATATATGGGAGGATATGGAAGGATATCTAACTGCTAATACAATAACAAACTAATAAAACTAATTTAAGGTGTGTGGGATAGAGAATAGGGTGAGGAAAAGGACTTTTTACTGTATGTCTTTTTATATTTTTGACGTTAAAATTTCTTTAATCACAGAAGTCTTTAAAATTAAAATATATATAATGGCTTTTTTTCAAGGAAGTCAATTTTGTAGGTCTGGAACAAATTTAGGACTATATGATGTTTTTAAGAGCTGAGAGCCACTGCTATAGAAATTCCTAGGCAAATAATAATGGCTTCTTGTCTCTTTTCATGGCACTAACACATATTATTTTTAGCCTGTTTTATGTTTTGTTTTTAGCAGAGTTTTGGTAGAGAACACATTAATACTCCTAAGGGGATCTGGAGGCTAAAAAAAGAGGAGGTGCAGTGAGAAAACATTGCAATAGAGGTGACAACATGTTTCTAAAACAGATCTGACCTGTCATCTCATCAAGCAACCTGCAATTCTCTGCCCTCAGAAAGAATGCCTTGAGCAAAAACTCCTTTCATTCAAAGCTTTCCGAGCTTTATGGCTGTTAAGAAGTCATCATTTTGGTATACCTACAAGGCTAGGTATATCATAGGTACTAATCTGTGGCTTTAAAACCACAGCCACACTTCTCATTACCAGAGTCAGGTTCAATAAAGAGGGGTTATTTAGAGGATTGTAAAATCTAAAAATCTACCATACAGAATTCTGTAGTCAACAATTTAGGCAGAATCATTAAGTAAAAAATCCTAAAAATATCCACACACAGGATTTGGTATGATGTCTTACTATTTTTCCATATCAGCCAATCCCATGGCCAGGAGTGGATCTTAAGATACAGCCTTTAAAAGCAAACATCATTAAAGCAAACATCAAAAGCCAGCAGGATGTTTATGATCTGCAAGAAGTATTATCTGGGTCCTTTACCATAACTATATATAGAAACTTCAACCTTACTACACTCTACCACCTCACTATAATCATGAATGAAAGCACATTATGCAAGAGAGACGGCCTAAACAAGAGCAGTCATTCCAAGCAGAAATGAAAATGAACGTTTTTGTAAAAATTGTTTTAAAGATTTTATTTACTTATTTTTAGAGAGGAGAAGGGAGGGAGAAAGAGAGGGAGAGAAACACCAATGAGCTTGCCCCTCACACGCCCCCTACTGGGGACCTGGCCCACAACCCAGGCATGTGCTCTGACTGGGAATCAAATCGGCGACCCCCTGGTTTGCAGGCTGGCACTCAATCCACTGAGCCACACCAGCCAGGGAGAGAACATTTACTGAACAACTGCTATGTGTCAGACACTATGTCTTGCATTTTTACATTTAATTTTTATTTGATTCCCACAAAATCCAATGAAGAATATATTTTAAGTCTCAAACTGAATTCTTAAGACAGGTTAAGTAGATTACCCAAGATCAGAGCTATTAAGTGATAGAGCCAGAATTGAAACCCACGTCTGTCTAGCTATTTTTTTCTCCTACACTCAGATACCGCTCTCAAACGAGAACACTGAAGAAGAATTAAGTATGAGATCTTTTAAATGCATTTGGCAAAATGAAATCTCTGTATTAACTCATTCAACAAATACTTAAGAAACAGCTATTGTGTTAGGCATGGGCTACGCATTTAGGTAAACTGAGACTTGAGAGCTTAAGGCACCTGATCCAAGTCACATGGCTGTTAAGTAATAAGAAGGTGAGAACTCAGCCTGACTCCAGACCATGCTTTCAAATACACTATACTTCCTCTCTAAAATTCAAAGGAAAACATAAGTATTGTCCATTCCAGTAAAAGGAAGTTGTTATGTGAGTAATTCCTAGTTAAGGGTCCACTAGATAAAAAAGGGAAATCTTTATTCTTTTCTCAAAGCAATTTCAGAGGTTTATGCATATTCATCTGGTTTATGGATGGTATAAGTTAATTCTAATAATTTATTTACTTTTTAAATACATTCCCCCCCCCCCCCCCCCCCCCCCTCCCCCTAGAGTCGAATCCGACCCCCTCCCTACCCTTCCCTCCCCCCCTTCCCTCAGTTAAGTTATATTCTTAACTGCCATGATAATAAATATTACCAGCTTATATTTGCTTAACACATTTTGGGTTTTCCAAAATGTTTTCTGATATAACCATCAATTTTATTATACATACATTATTTTAACTGATATAATCATTAATAGTTTCCCATTTTTATTCCTACAGATTAAAGCCAAAGTCTTGGTCTCTCCTGAGATCCCTCACATTGCTGCCCTTCTAGCTTAATTTGCTACCAATCACACTCACAAAATTTGTGTTTTGGCTACATTACTCTCTGAGGATTCCACCTTTGTTCATGCTATTCCTTTTGTCTAGAATGGCCTTCTGTGTTATCCATCTGGTAAATTGCTACTGTTCTTTCAAGAGCTGGTTCAAATACCTTCCACATGAAACCTTCAACTGGCTTAATTAGTCACTCTCTTCTCTATGACCACCAAATCCTTCTTTATACATCTCATTCATAGGATTTATAATTATCCATGCGTTTCTTCTTCCCAAGGGATTGAGCTCCTTGAGTAGAGACTGTCTTTCTCATCTTTGTATTCCTAGTGTCAAACTCACAGAAGGTGTTCAATATTTATGAAATGAATAAAAGAATGAATTACATACTACTCAACTGATAATTAGAAGATGGAACGTACGAGTCCCATACTAAAATGCAAAATTTATACCTCTGTTTTTACGGCTGTAAAATAAGTAAATTTCAATTCAATTCAACATCTAGTGCTATGACTATACTCCCTAATCAGTTTAACAGATGGGAATATTATGAGAGTTCTTTAGAAGGATCACAGAAAGTCCAAATAATTGTTATTACCTCCTCCATCATGGCATCCTGCATGGCAGAGATTTCTCCTTTGGTTGCTCCACTGTGTACCAGGTTCCGTAGTCGTATACAGAATTCTCTCATCTATGATAGAAAGTTAGTTATTCAGCACCACAATATTTACCCAACTTTAATTGTAAATGAGCCTAACAGACCAATGCCAGTTCTATTTTGAAGTATAAATCAGCCAAGACCCAGGGTTAAAGTTCATAAAAGCAAACGTGTTTTTCTCCAACCAGTCTACTGGAACACATAGCTAAAAATACTCCATAAAAAACAAAAAACCTGCATTATTCCCAAAACATACTACATGAATAGCTCCTGCTCTGTAAGAGATGGTACTCTTTGTGACACTACATGTCTGAGTATGGGGAAAACAGCTGATTCCATAATGCCTGTGATCCTTAGAAAAGACAAGAGACTTAAGATGATTATGCCATTAAATCACTCACAGATTTTTACTTAGAATTTTACTGGTTGTCTACTTCTCTGCCAAACCATTATGACCATGGCTATGCCAACCCCCCAATATAGTTTTCATTTTTGTTTTCAATTTTTAGAGATGCCAAAAATACAGGTGAGTGACATCTAACTATGATGCTAAAGAGGATTTTGCTTCCATCTGAAATGGATCCTAATGCTACATTATTGGTGATCTTTTAGTCTGTGGATAAGAGTCCCCAGCATTTCCTAGGTTGAGAATAACCTACTTCTAATTGGGGAAACACATTTACAGTGTATTTTAAAATGTAATCTTTCGCCCAAGAATGACAAATCCAATTTAGCTACATAGATCAGGAGAGCAGATTCTGGCAATTCTCAGTTCTCAGAAAAAAAGATGTCTGGCTGGCAAAGAAGCATCTTTATAGGATTTACAATCCTCCTTGGGAAATGGGTTATGTAGGGAAGAGAGGATGGTTTATTAAGATAAATGAAGCAATAAAAAGCAGTTCAGTGACTACACCAAATCTTTAGTGTATGAATAAACTATACTGATGTGGTTTGGGGAAGCCTCTGAAATTAACATACTCTTTGAGGAACTCTCACAAGTAGTTGCTTTTTTTTTTTCCTAGTACATAAAGCTGTCCCAGACCACTTCCACTACAGCCAAGTGAGAGGCATGGTACCCAGCATGCTTCTGCCCCATACTAATTAAACATAAGACTTTCTTTCCTGAGTACTTAGAAGAAAATATTTAAATCAACAGAAATAAAAGTGGAAGATTTCTTTTTTAAAAAGCATACCCTAATCTCAATTATTTTGTTAGTTAATACATAGCTACATTGCTTTTGAAAGACACTGGTTAGCTATCTTGTACATAAACTGTACATACTGAAATATCCAGAAATCCCTTTGGAATTTTTAAGTTAATTTTTAAGAAGTTTTAAGGTAAGTCCAGTAAATTCAATCCCACCCTGCTCCATATGATTCAGAATATCATTGTACCTTGTGATTCAGAATATCATTCATTCTTCTGGTTGCCTCTGTTGTATGAGATTCAGGGAAACATTTCTTAGGAATAACGCCGTATTTTTCTAAAAAATAAATAAATTTTAATGTTCAGTAAGGTAAAAGTAAACTCTAGCACTGTAGCATTAGAAATCCTGGCAAAAAATAGCTATTGCTTTAAAAACTAGGCCATATTTTGTTGGTTTAATTCAGAAAACTTAACAATCTTATGCTTCATAAAGTTAAACTGGTTATTTAATCTCCATATTAATCCATCTACCATAGCATTAATTCTATTCTTTTTTTATCTATCATACTTTGTAAAGTGCCCAGCATGATGAGGTTTTCCCAAAAGACAACCCTTTTTAGAATGAGGACATTTGCAAATAGAAGTTTCAATGTATTTCTTAATTACATCAAGAGAAAAGCTTTTTTTTAAATAGAAAATCAGTTTTTAGTTAATACAACTTTTTCTTCTCCAATCCACCTGTCACAGTACCTATCTCCTTATGTCTCATTTAAAAAATGAGATCTCACCTTTACAGGTGAGAGTGGGAGATAAAAGTTCTTAGAGCTCTCTATATACCCTTTAGGAGACCAATGCTACTCTGTACATAACCATGAAAGACATGGCCTATGCCTAACTACAGAGCCTTGCTTAATCGTGTTGTGTTTCATTTCCATCAGAGAAAGACTCTTACCAATAATATTGACAAGCATATCCCATTGTCCACCATCATTTGCAGGATTTGTTAGCAAATACTGCAGCAGCCTACCATCCTCAGGCTCCTTTTTCTGGGCTGTGTCCACAAAAGCATTTAAGAAGTAGTAACAGCGTTCAACCTAGAATAGAGAAGTTAAATAAAATTAATACTTTTATTTGCATTATCAACAGAACAGCAGTCTTGGAACTACTATAGACCCAACGAGGTAGGTTTGCTTTTTTATTTTTTTTAAAGGTTTTATTTTCATTTATTTTTAGAGAGGGGAAGGAACAGAGAAAGTGAGGGAGAGAAACATCAATGTGTGGTTGCCTCTCATGCACCCTCTCCTGGGGACCTGGCCTGCAACCCAGGCATGTGCAATGACTGGGAATCGAACTGGCAACCCTTTGGTTCGCAAGACGGCACTCAATCCAACAGCAGCCAGGGCTGCTTTTTTTTTTTTTTTTTTTTTTTGAGTATAATTGACATAACAGTTTCTGGTGGGTTGTTTGGGGTTTTTTTAGCTTTTTTATTGAGGCATAACTGACATAACATTGTATTAGTTTCATGTGTACATAGTAGGTATTTTTACACTAAAGTAGTAACTAAATATCAGTATCTGGCCTCATAAAAATATTTAAAGTTTCTTCTTATATCTGTGCACACATTCCAACAGTTTATCCAAAACAAGGCACTGCTTTATTTTGAAATAAAATTTGTTATTTAAAGCCTTCAATCAATAAACTAATCTTATGGACACTCATATACATTTTAAAGATTTAAAAAATGGAATAAAATTATTTACTGTTTTCAGTTAAGTACTACCCAGGGAAGGGGAATCAGGTCCTAGAAAGACCAAATAAGCTAAATAAAGGTGCTAAAAGGAAAAAATATTAAAAACAAAATTAAAAATTTTAAATTAGTTAGGAAAGAAACAAGGAAGCAGCAGGGTTAGTCAGTAGCCACATACCAACCAAAACCAGTTCTGCCTTTGAAAAAGTCAACTTTTGATACTTTGGAAATCAGAATGAGTAGTGTCGCATCTATAAAATGGACTTAGTCCCTTCTAAGGTTGATAGTAAACAAAAAAACTTTCAAGATCAGTTCCATACCTTGTCCCAGAAAAAAAGATAAGACTGACTAAACTCAAATTCTTCAATATTTAATTTTTTCATGAAAGGAAGTCTCATAACGTTCAGACAAGAAAAGATCCAGCATCGCCCTGAAACAAGAAAGCAAACCAAGAAATTACGTTGAGTGTTCACACAGATTACATTGTATTTCCTGACAATGAACCCATGACAAGATCTTGGATAACTTAAGACCAACTCAGAAAAAGCAGAAAGGTTAAAAAAATATATAAGAAAAGTAATAATTACTATTTGCACTATATACATGCAAAGGTGTAATATTCTTAACATATTAAAAAAAAATCTCTTTAATATCACATAAAGAATCCATTATAAATCACCTAAGAAAGTCACATTAGGTCCTGACCAGGTAACTCAGTTGGTTAGAGCATCGTGCCGATATACTAAGCCTGCAGGTTCACTCTCTGGTCAATAAGCAACCAATGAATGTGTGAATAAGTGGAACAACAAATCAGTGATTCTCTCTCTAAAAATCAGTAAATTAAAAATAAAAATTAAAAAAAAGAAATTCACATCAGAAATACTACTGATAGAGTGCTTTCTTGCTCCCTGGCCATCTTGGCAGCTGCTCTTGGTTGGGGGCCGCCCCACACCTAAGGCAGAAAGATGGTGTCTACAAAAAACAAACAAACAAATGAAAAAGTTGCGGGGGAAGATCAACTCTAGGCTCCAATTTGTTATGAAAAGTGGAAAGTACATGCTTTCGGGGTACAGGTAGACTCTGAAGTTGATCAGACAGGGCAAAGTAGAACTGGTCATCCTTGCCAACAACTGTCCAGCCTTGAGGAAATCTGAAATAGAATACTATACCATGTTGCCTAGGACTGATGTACATCACTACACTGGCAATGATATTGAACTGGGCATAATGTATGGAAAACACTACAGAGTATGCACATTGGCTATCACTGATCCAGGTGATTCTGATATCATTAGAAGAAGCATGCCAGAACAGACTGGTGAAAAGTAAATTATACAAAATTTTTGTTTAATAAAACTGGCCAAAGCTTGGTTTAAAAACTGAAAAGAAAAAAAAGAAAAACGGATAGAGAAACATGAGCAGAGGTCATAGATAATTTAATGGCCATAAAGATACAAGTGGTAACCAAAAAAAATTTTTTTTAAGATTTTTATTTATTTATTTTTAGAGAGAGGAGAAAGGAGAGAGAAAGAAAAGGGGAGAAACATCGATGTGAGAGAGACACATTGATGGGTTGCCTCTCATAAGCACCCAACCAGGGACCAAACCCGCGATCCAGCCATGTGCCCTGACTGGGAATCAAACTGGCAACCTTTTGTTTTGTGGCACATCACCTGACCATCTGAGCCACATCAGTCAGTCAGGGCAGAAAAAAAATTTTTTTAAGTTCACTATAAGACACCCTTTAAGTGGGGGAACTTTATTTTTTAATTTATAATGTCCAGTATTGGCAAGGAGTTGGGGAAATAGCATTACGATACACTCTGGATAATGATCTAAACAGGTACTAAATATCTGAGGGCAATTTGGCAATACATCGTAAAGCTTTAAAAAGACCCTACTCTTTAATCTGGAATATACAGCATATGCTTCAATATAAGGTAACCATAACATAAGTCAATGCCCCTTCTCCCAATGAAAATTAAAATATGCTTCACATGAGTCTTGGCGTCAGAGCCATCGCCATAATTAGATCCTTTCTTTCAATCAGAACACATCATTTTTCTTCCATCTAGTATGTCTAGCAATGCTTTGAATCCATGCATGATAATGTGCCTGAACATTTTATGCCATGCCTCAACTATACATTCACATTCTTGATTTGTCCTGGAAGTGGACAATCACAAACTCGACAATATCACCATTTCCTGTAGTGACATATGCAATTTTATTTCAGAAGGCCTATTTACAATACCCAAGAATATACTGTGTTCAAATTTTTTGCCTTTTAAAAATCTGATTCAATCAATTGATCTTTATAAGCATCCAAACCTAACATGAATTGAGGTCATTTCAGAAATAATGTTTTGCCAAACTGTATTCTACTTCAGATTAAATTAACTGAGAGTGCTCATTATGAGAGTCTTTATAAGGCCTCAAATATAGAGTACCTCTCTTCCGAAGAAAAATTCAGAGGGAAAATAACGACTTACATTTGGGCATAACTTTTACTGATATGAAAATATGTTCACGGTATATTGGTAAGTGGAAAAGGTAGGTAGGTTACCTAACAATATTTAAGGTATCCACCCATATTCTGCCCCCCTTCTCTCCCCCTCTCTCTCTTGCCGCATGTGCACACACACAATATAGACTTGACGGAAAAAATATTTGCTTGTTGGTATTTTGCAAATATTCTTCACTGAACAAGAGTAACTTTACAACCAGAAAAAAAAAAGTAACTGCAGTGTTTTTTGAAAGTCATTAACGATGACTTTCAATTAATTCACCTTTACCTTGGGTTTATCTGTATGCCACCTCTCTTACCTCCACTATATTATTTCCCATTAGTGGGAATCTGCATGAACTGTTAAACACTTTATGAAAATAAACTACATAGTTCATGTGCTATTTGTATCTTTTGTAAATAAAAGTGATGCTACAGAATATATAACACCTGATCTCTTCCAACTGAACATTTCCCAGCTCTTTGGAACAACCTGAGATGTTACTGCAATCTAAACTACGTAGGGTCACTGTGACATTACTAACGATATAATTTGTAGCTTGATGGTACACACCACCCCACGCATTCTCTACTACAGCAAAACATTAATTATTGCAAGGTCATTATTTTTTCCTTAAAATTTAAAAATCAACTTTACTGATGTATAATTTACATATAATAAAATATAACCATGTTAAATACATGGTTTGAGTTCTGACTGGCTCTAAGCAAGCACTGGTCTGATGTCAAAATAGATAGACTGGGAGAAATTTTAAAATGGATAGACTTTAAAAAGTCCTCTTAGCCCTGGCTGGTATTGCTCAGTTGGCTGGGCACCACCCCACAAGGTGAAGGGTCACTAGTTTGATTCCCGCTCAGGGCACTCGCCTGCGTTGCAGGTTTGGTCCCAGGTCACTGCACATCCAAGAGGCAGCCAATCAATGTTTCTCTCCCTCCCTCCCCCTCTAAGAAATAAATAAATACTTTTTTAAAAAGGTCCTTGTAGGCCCTGGCCAGTGGCTCAGTTGGAGCATTGTCCCATGCACCAAAAGGCTGCAGGTTCGATTCCTGGTCAGGGCACATACCTAGGTTGCGGGTTGGATCCCTGGTCAGGGTGCATATGAGGGGCAATTGATCGATTCTCTCTCATATGGATGTTTCCCTTACTCTCTCTCTTCCTCTCTCTCTCTCAAATCAGTACAAACATATCCTCTGGTAAGGATTTTCTTTTAAAAGTCCTACTAGTACAATTTTGTTGTGAAAATGCCCTCCTCATTTAGATTCCTTTCAACTGTAGCTGTTTTTCTGACAGTGGGGCTAGATAGTAGATAAGAAAACAAGAGCTCTTGACCAGTAAGACATGAGAACTGAATTATTTTCTGTATTACAACATAGTCTATTGATGGTAACTGAGTCAACATTTTCTCAAGTTGTGACCAAGAAGCATGTTTAAAAATAACATTCCACGACGTGTTGATGCGATTATGTTGTATCTTTTCCATTTTATACTCTTGTATATGGCCTTCAAGGCAATTTGGGGGAGTCTTCTAGGAAACGAACACTTTTGCTTGGTCTGCTTTTTACCAAGAGTATGCATACCTCCAACCCATGCGGATACAATCACTTAACTTCAGCACAGAGTCTAGTCAATTACGTTCAAACAGATGACCATGGACTTGTCACTTTAGTGCTCAAATAAAACATAGTAACAAGCCGCAGAACACCAAAACAAGTCACAAAGTAATGTTCTTGAACCTGGCTTTACTCCTGCCTGTTCTCCAGGAAGCTTCTACCAGTTCTTTCAATACAAACCTCCGCTCCCCTAAGACCATTTTTAAAATGGGGCACTGTCCGGAAGGTCCAGCAAAGAGTGCAGGAAGTTTTAAGAGTTCACCTGATAACTTCTGGTTGGTGACCGGCTTGCCTTCCTGAGGCACGACGTGCTGGAACACATGCTGAGTGCCCTGTACCGTGGCCCTCTTCAGAGAGATGTCCAGCAGGTCATGGGTGGTTCCGACATTCTGGGCGAGTACGAACTGAGGGTCGGAATTCAGTTTGTGAATCAGAGCTGATACCTTCTCCGCATTCAGTCCTGTTGGAAGACCAAGTGAGATTGTAACACCAAAAAGAGGCTGAAGAGGGCTGATCCGGGACTCCCACACCCTGGCTCTTAACTTCATCAGAGCATCCTGAGGTGACCGTGGCAGTGGTCCTCCCCAACGACGCTGTCTTCCCCCAGGCCGCTCCAGCCCGCCCCGGGAGCTCCATCTCCGCCATCCCCCCGGTCCCAGCCCCGGCCCTTCCCGGCTGCCGGGCTCCGGCGGGGAAGAGCGGCTCCTCACCCACGCTGTTCATGGTGCCCACGCTGCCCGACTGGGGAACGGTAGCTTTCGGGGTCCTCTGGTGAGCGCCCGGTGGCACAGCGGCTCGCTGCCTGGCAGTCCCGACCTGCCTCTCGCACACCGAGCGCCGGAAAGAGGAAACAAGAGGGGAAGCGGCGGAGGACTAAGTCCGAGAGAAACGGGGTCCGTGGAGGGACAAAACTCCCTCCCTCGCGTTGCTGAGTCAGCGCCGGCGAGCCTGGTGGCCCGGCTCGCGGGAGGGCAAGCGAGGGGCGGGCTCTTTGCCAGGGTCCGTCCTGCCCACGTCCTTGCCCCGGTCGGCTCCGGAGGCTGCTCGGCCCTGCAGCCTCTCTCCGCTGCCCACGGTCCTGGGGCGGCGCTCGCGCCCTCAGCCAACTGGGATCCGGCTTCTGGGCCACCGGAGCGCCCTACTAGGACCTGGCTGGCTCCGAGTGCGGAGCCTGAGGAATGTCATGAAAGTCCGAAGCCCGAACACTCTAGCTTTGGGGAATTGACTCCATAAGCCTTTTCAGAAGCCCAGAGAGGGTGGCAGAGCGGAGCTGAGGGGCCGCATATTAAGCACAGACTTGGCTTAGGACGGGTTGACTCGCCACAAAAAAAAAAAAAAGAAAAGAAAAGAAAAAGAAAAAAGCACCCAGAGGCTCTTCCTATATAAAGGCATTCTTTGCTGACCGTCACTGTAATTTCACTGACAACTTGTTGCTTCGATTCCAATAAGAACCAAGTTCTTGTATTTGAGGCTAAATTGGTACCAACCTACTTCCCACTCTCTCAGACGATACTACCACGGTTCTACAAATGAGCATCTGCTAATTCGAAGAAAAGTACCCATTCTGGCCTTTATGGAGTTGGTGACTATCACCTGCCTAGCCCAGCAGGTACTGTGGGGTTTAACTAAAGGAAATGACAGAGGTCAGTGTTAAGCATCGATGCTGTTCTGGAGACAACGCTTTTTGCCAGGCGCTCTGCAAAACCCCCCGCCCCGCCCCGCCCCGCCCCGCCCCGCCCCGCCCCGCCCCTAGGCTAAGATAACTCAGCCGTTTTTACAAGGTTTTGAGATTGTTTAGTCCTTTTATATTGTTTTGCGTGCTCTGAAATCTCAACCTTTAGTGAGATGTTAACCCCCAGGTGATAAAACAAATACAAATATATCTTCTTATCATCGAGACAGTGAGAGTCTTCTGTGGAACCTAAAATCTAGATCCCAGTTTGAAAATCATCACTGGTTCTAAGGAACTCCAATATCCGGAAAAATCCACACTCAGACACCAATCATTCCTTTGAAAAATCACAGTCCTTATGTCCCTAGCAAGATCTAGCTAAAGTTTGAGGATGTGGCTTAACAAATATCTCCAATAGGGCCCATTCACTGTCCTTTCCTAAGAGTCTTCTGATGTCTGAAGAAAAGCAACAGGCTGAAAATTATGCTGAAAGAAATCATTGGTTCTTTCACAAAATGATGTTCAAGCATCCAGCCCAATTCAACTTAAAATTTTATTCAGTATCTACCATATACCAGATACTGGGCAGCTGCTAGTGATATGGAGACTAACAAAGCTTAATCTTGCCCTTAAGAAACTCACAATGTAATGAGAAAGATGCAAAATCGCTTTGGACAATCTGTACTAATGTATCAGTAGTGCTGTAGAAACAGTAAGGAGAGAGCTGTTAATTAGGGCCAAATATGCCTGAGAAAAGAGGTGACAAGTAAGCATAATGTGGATAGGCTTTTAAAGGGGGGGAGGGGAGAACAGAAGAAAGGTGTACAAGGTGCCAGCAAAGGCACAGAGGAATTAAAGTACATGGTGAAATCATGTTCAAGAAACTGCATCATAGTCTGATGTGGTTTAGAGCAAAGAAGGCTTTGAGATCAGTGACAAGGTATAGGACTGGAAAGGTAGGCTTGGTCAGGATATGAAGGATTTTATATGCCATGCCTGAGCATCTGGGTTTTATCATATGGATAATTGGAAGCCAAAAAATGTTTGTAAACAAAGAAGAATATGCTCAGTTCTATGTAAAGAAAGAAACCCAGCAGCAGTGGGAGGATGATTTGGAGGGGAGAGATTCTGGAGATAAGGAACTAGTTAGAAGGCTATTTATTCCAGTAATCCCTTTGGGAAATGACAAAATCCTTGAACCGTGGAAGGAAAAGAGGCACAGTTAATCTGGAAGTTTTCAGTTGAATGAGAGGATGGATAGTGGTATCATTCACCAAGAAGGGGAATACAGGGAAATAGACATGTTTGGTAGTATGTGAGTGAGCAGCTAATGAATTCAGTTTGGGCCTTGGCAAGTTTGGAGTTCTCACGGGACACCCAGGAAAAGTCCAGGAGGCCAATTAAAAGACGTCTAGAGATTAAATAGGACCAGAGATCTTGGGACAATGAAAGCAACAAGTTTGCAGAGGGAAAGAGAGAAAAACAAAAAAGGGATGAGGACCGAGAATAGCACCCTAGGTGGCAGCATGCAGTCGTACGGGGTGTTCACAGCACAAGGGGCCAGGCTGAGTGGGGTGAATGTGGCCTGAAGTTCAGTTCACGCTCCACTTGCCAAGCCATGCACCCCAGCCCAGATCTGTGCCCAGGCAGTATGGTGCACCATTTACTACTTCTTACCAAGATGCCAAATGGGGGTGGCATTAGCTCTGGAAACAGTAAACTTTAAAGACTGGGTGAAGACAAAAGAGCCAGCAGAAAAAGGTACAGCAATCAGAGAGGTAGGAAAAAGCCTGGAGAGTTATGTCCTGGAATCTCAGGCAAGAAGATGGTGAATGGGCCTGAAAATTTCAGTCAAATAAGATTGAGTTTGGCAAACTGGGTGAGAGGAAGGGCAAGGTGGACAGAAGCCACACTGGAGTAAGTTGAAAGGAAAGGAAACATCAGGTAAACTCTTTTGGAAGAAAAGGAAAACTTATGTCTACCTAGAGAATGAAATGCAGGACAGGTGAGAGATTAAATATATGCCTTTTGATTCTAAAGGATAGCTTTGCTGGGTAGGGTAATCTTGGTTGTAGGTCTTTGCTTTTCTTCACTTTGAATATTTCTTGCCAATCCCTTCTAGCCTGTAAAGTTTCTTGGGAGAAATCAGCGAACAGTCTTATGGAGGCTCCCTTGTAGGTAACTGACTGCTTTTCTCTTGTTGCTTTTAAGATTTTCCCTTTGTCTTTAACCTTTGGCATTTTAATTATAATGTGTCTTGGGGTGAGCCTCTTTGGGTCCATCTTGTTTGGAACTTTGTGTGCTTCATGGACTTGTATGTCTATTTCCTTCACCAAATTAGGGAAGTTTTTGGTCATTATTTTTTTTTCAAATAGCTTTCCAATTTCTCGCTCTTTCTCTTCTCCTTCTGATGTCCCTATGATGCAAATGTTGGTATGCTTGAAATTGTCCTAGAAGCTCCTTGTATTATCCTCAATTTTTTGGATTGTTTTTTTTCCTTTTTGTTTAGATTGATTGTTTTTTGCTTCCTTATGTTCCAAATCGTTGATTTGTTTCTCAGCTTCCTCTACTCTGCTGTTGATTCCCTGTAAATTGTTCTTTATTTCAACTAGCGTATCTTTCATTTCTGACTGGATCTTTTTTATGCTGTGGAGGTCTTCACTAAGATCCTTGAGCATCCTTATAACCAGTGTTTTGAACTCTGCATCTGATAGATTCCCTGTCTCCATTTTGTTTAGTTCTTTTTCTGGAGTTTTGTTCTGTCCTTTCATTTGGGCCATATTTCTTTGTCTCCTCATTTTGGCAGCCTCCTTTTGTTGCTTCTATGCATTAGGCAGAGCTGCTATGATTCCCTGGCTTGGTAGTGTGGCCTAACGTAGTACATATCCTGTAGGGTCCAATGACACAGCTTCCTCTATCATCCAAGCTGGGTACTCAAGGTGTGCCCACTGCATGGGCTGAGTACACCCTCCTCTTGTAGTTGAGCCCTGATTGCTGTTGGAAGGTCAATGGAAGGGATTTACCCAGGGCAGTCAGCTGCAAGGACTGGCTATGACCACTGACCACTTATCTGCAACTACCGTGGAGGCTCAGCTGTGGAGGAGCCCACTCCACAGAGCAGGACTTACTTCAGCAAGGCTCTGGTGCCCACTGAGTCCACCTCTTGAGTGTCTTGCTTGAGGATGTGTTTGGGTGCTGGTGTTCCAACATGGCGAGTTGCTGTCCACTGGGTAGGCAGGCTCTGGAGCCTTCCAGAAGGTACAGGGCAAGGTCAGCCACCACCTGTGTTCTGTCCAGGGCCACTGTTTAAACTGTATGAGGCACTCGAAATACAAAAATGAATAAGACATTAGTCCCTGACCTCCAGGAGTTTCAATCCAGTGGAAAATAAAAAAGGAAATTAATCAGTTTGTTTGATTCATACAAAATAATATTCAGTGAGCACTCACTATGTGTCAGGTACTGTATTAGATATAGAAATAAACAGGAAAGCCAGACAGACAAGGTTCCTGTCCTCCTGGTGCTTACATTCTAGTGCGGGAGACACATCACAAACATAAATATGCAGATATTCAATATTGGGATAAAAAAACTAAAACAGCATAATGTATTAGTGACTGGCCAGGGATAGTGGTGGTATAAATAGTTTCTCTGAGGAAGTGACCAATAAAGATCTGGCTATATGAGGATTGGTGGGATAAAGGTGCAAGAAGAGGACAAAGCAAGTGCAAGGGCCTCAGGATAGGAACAAGCAGGGCCCACCAAGGTCATAAAGAACCCAGGTTTTCTACAGCCCTGGGATCTGCCCCCCACAGCATTAGCGCCCCCCTTGGACTCCTCCTCACGCTTCCTCCTTCAAGTCCAGTGGGGAGAGGTCTGGATTTTTCTCACCGCTCCTAAGAGAGAAGACCATTTTACTCAAAAGCTATCAGCAAATTTCTCCCTGGATTTTATTGTCTAAAATGAAGTCACATGATTTTTCCTAAACCAATCTCTGGCTAGGGGAATGGGATTACCCTTATATCAGCCAGTCTAATTCCCACAGCAGTAATCAGTTCTCCAAGCTGCATTGCTTCTCCCGAGTGCAAGTAGAACGGCTGGGGGTTTGGGGAGGGGGAGAGGGATGGATGTTGAGAGTCAATTATAATGTTCACTGCGCTATAGTAAGGAGTTTAGATTTTATTCCAAGTGCAATAGGAAGGAGTG